TTGATATGCATTTTAACTAGTTCAAGTGTGTTGGGAAAACATTCTCATCTTTCTAGACATTAGGCAACCTCTCTTGTGGCCAAATTAGTGCCCAACTTCTGCATTAGTTCTGTTTCTTGAATCCTTTCATGCAATTCTTTCTCACACACATACACACAATTTTTTGAAATCAACTCTAGGCTTCTAACCAGAAGAGAGTTGGAAGAGAGACCTCCAATCTTGTATTTGGAAACAAAATATATTTATACAATTTTCTCTTTACACAACTCTAGAATGGAATCAATGGAGAAACTTTAACATCGGATACAACAGCAGCACGGCACTGTCTGTTGCAGTGGCAAAAAAATAATATGGAATAATTGGACTTTTATTGATGTTTTGCCAGTGTTCTTGTATTAGTTTCGTACACTTCCTCTCTCTGCAAAAGTGTTTAATTGGCTTCTGTATACCAACTGTAAGAGGACCTGTGTTGGCAACTTTTGGGGAAGGTCTGTCTCCCTCCTTTCTAAAATTACTTCTGGGTGTTTTCCATGTATCTCTGTACTGAATTAGAATCTAATATTCTCTTTTTTTTTTGCTGACCTAATATTATTGAGAGCAGTCTTCCTGTATGATTCACATTATTTTGACACTATCAGATGACCAAGTGGGAGTGGAGGAGGGGCAGTCTGTTATAAAAGCAAAGACTTAGAATTACATCACAGAACCAAACTCACCCCATTAGTGTTCCTGTGCCCTGGTTGCGGGATGTTTTTCTTGCTGGCTGATAATATGGTAGCAAAGCCAGAGCAGAAAACCAGTAAATTGCATATTATAAGAGGCAAACACAAATCGCAACACAATTTAGTTGGGAAAGACGACATCTTATGCATGCAAACAGCCAGTGTTATGATGATACCATTGGGTGGTGCAAAGATGAGATGGATAACAGTTTAAATGCTCCTCTAGCATTGCACTATGCTTCCTGGCATGTACCAAGAAATATTTTAGGATGGTTTCACACACAGCTTTCAGGATCCTAAACCCTTTCTTCTGCAAAATAAGATGTGCAGCTCAAAGCCATTAGATCTTACTGCAAAATATTGATCCAGGATTAGGCAACTTCTTGTCCTTCAGACGTTTATGGCTTCAATTCTTTTCAGACCAGCCAACCGACCCAAATGTAGAAACCTGAAAAGAGTATTGCTTTAAAACATTTAGAAGGTCCCAGGTTGTCCTATCCTGCCTTGGCCCCAGGTACAGTATATGAGTCCTGGCTGGCACTCTGCTACGATCTCAGCATAACTCCTTCCACATCTAAATGGGATCCTGACCCCCTGCTCAGAGAGGTCTGTTTATCAAGAGAACGGCAGGATGAGAGAGAGAGAGAGAGAGAGGCAGAGAAGAAACGTGATCTCCATTACTGTGCCCGCCCGGGCAGACGAGTTCTGTCTTTCCCATTTCCTGCCTCTGGTGGCTAAAGGAAGTGGCGCTCGTGTTTCCTGAATCTGGCTTAAAACAAGGGCCCGGCATGCCGTCGTGACTGCCCCGGGAACTGATATTTCCAGCCGTTTCCCTCCGGCGTCGTGAAAAACCTCTAGGGGAAATCCTCGCCCCCCCCCCCGGGCCCAACCTCAACCTCCAGACCTTGGGCAAATGGGGGACGGCGGATATTTAACCTCCCCACTCATCTTTCATTTGCGCTGGCATTCACACTGGGAGGGCCACCAGCCCTTCCGTTTCCCTTGCCTCTTCTTTGACGGAAACTTTTTTCCCGTTTGCCCCACTTCAGTTTGTATTCCCAAGGCTGGTCGCTCTCTCCTTCAGGCTGAGACACTCCAGAAATGGTTTTATCCCCCGGCGGCGCAGCAAACACCCACATATCGTTGCCGGAAGGTGGGCTTCGATTTCTCATCCCCACCGAAACTTCATTCCCCATACATGGCATAAAGCCCCCTTTGTCCATCACCAGATTCGATCAGGTTTAATCGATCGGAAGGGTGCTGGAAGTAACAGGACCGCAAGTGTTAAGTGGGAATCCTGGAATCTCTCCCATCAATTGCCTTCTGGGGGAATATCCCAAAGATTCACCAGATAAGTAATCTGGATGACACTTTGGGAAACTCGGGGTTGGGATCCGAGAGACAACGAATTCGAGTCTTTTTCCTTGGGTGTTTCTAGAGAATTGGGGGTAAACTACAAGATCGGTAAACCAGGAGCAGTTCTACCTTAAGAGAAAGGCGGGGAAAAATCATTGTTGCCATTAATGTTACTGTTTTGTTGTCTTTGATGGACAAGACCTTACATTATATTTCATTGTATTCGAGCAGAGTGAGTCAACCTGTTGTGAGATCAGATGCTTAATGGGTTTGTTTATGCACACCTTCCATGCTTGCCCTGCAGCAAGGTGGGTCTCTGCTCTAAGGACACAGCCAGGCTGGCTCAAGAACTCCCTCCCCTTCTTCCCACAAGCAGGTTGTGTCAGATGGGTGTGTGAGTTGGCTTTCCATACCACTTCAGGGCCCTGGTATGAATTATGTGATTATGGTTCCGCATCTAGTGTGAACATAGCCACGGTGGCTTGGAAATTTATATTAGCTCAGGAAAACATAGGTTATTCAATACACGGTGATTTAACCAAGCCATGGCTTCCCATGATGTGTGAATGAGAACAATATTTAATAGGTTTGAAGTGAAAAACCTCTTTGTTGGAATTGTTTGATCCTGTTGTTTACTATTATCACACCAAAAAGATTGTGGTTGGAAAAGAAACACTCTCCCCCCATTTTCCTTACTCACCATTCTCCCCAGGCAAGTGAAAGTGATACCTAGCAGTCATTGAACTGATCAAGAAAGTATTCTGGTATACCTGTGCTCCATCTCCCCCACATCCCTTGAAAGCCCAAATTCTACCAGAAAAAGGCCAATGAATGTTGCTGCCCTTTCTGGAGCCAGTTTACGGAAGGGATAGATGGAAGGATCTCCAAGCATCATCAACTAATGGAGAAACACACAGCAAGCTCTTTCACCGAGGTGCAGTCAGGTAGGATGTGTTAGGACAGCTTGGAATGATGGGATTAGCCATCTCTCAAGGTTCCCTTTTGCTTTAATCCTTTGTTATCTTATAAGCTGCCTGGAGTTGTTAAGAACAATTCATGAATGGCCAAATGAATTGATTGATTAAACTTAAGGGGTGAGGGGGAGGAATTGGGCGAAGCAGAAGGAAATGCTTCAGTGCTGCCACTCAGTCCAACCCCTCCTTTGTCTTGGTAATCAGCCAATGTAGGGGTTGGAAATCAGCCCAGCTCTCAACTGAGAAGCGCAGAAGAAATCTGGGATGAAGCGAGAGAGAATCATTAATAATCAGCAAATCCAGTCCTGACCTTATGGCTTGGAGGCATAAGGCTTGGAGAATACAAGCTAGGAAAATACAGATGCTAGACTGAACACCTGGAATCGTGCTGTTGTGATTGGTCTGCCAGTAATTACAATGGTCATCAGGGCATCCATCTAGTGGCAACCTCTAGCTGGAATGCAAAATGCAAATATCACCATCTCTTTTTTCTCTCCCTCCCTCCCTCCTTCTCTTTCACACCCACACACACAAACTAGAAGTATCAATTGCATGAGAGTCGTTGCCTGGTTAGAATGATACTTGTAGTGTAGTGTTCTTGCACAAATCCTCCAAAATATTAAAAATAAATCATAAAAATAGTAAAGGAAAAAAATAGCTATGCCAAATCCTCTTCATAATTCTGTGATGCACCTGCTGGTGACATGATCAGGTTTCTCCAATTGGATCAATTTGGACAACACTCCTCCAGAATGCCAAGTCTAAAATAGATTTATTTATTTAATAGTGTTTATAAGAAGTTCCTGTAAAACCTAACACCTTCTACAGAAAGTGCCAGTCAGGCATTCTGTGGCAGACACCTCTGTGGTGACCAGCTGCCTGGTCTCTCCTCCAGCCCAAGCCCAAATTCCCATGGAGGCTAGTGCCCAGGCACTCAAAGGGAGAGCACGTGCCAGCAGGGATCCCTATGAGAGCTGGATAGACCAGGCCTGATCACACCAGCACTCAAACAGGCAGGCAAAGGTTTCAGACCAGATCCACACCAAAAGTGATATCGAGGGGAAACTAATTACTTCAAACCTGAAACAGCCAAGAGATATTTAGAGGACGAGACAGAGGCAACATCACAAGAATATGGCAGAGAAGGGGTGGCCAGGATTCATTTGTCTCACGATAGGCGACAGGAAGTCCATATACTGTAATTCAAAGTGTAGCAGCAAATCCCCTCAGATTATTCCAGTGTTTCTCAGTCTGGACCCCTTGAGGACGCGTGGCTGAATGGCTGGGGAATTCTGGGAGTTTAAATCTACCTATCTTCAAGCCGGTCGAGGTGATTCTTATGTTGAATAAGGGTATGCTAAAATTTAAGAGAAATTACACATTTATTTTGTGGACAAGTTGTCCCTCCCATGCGGCTCTCTTCGGCCGTTTATTTTTAAGCGAGCACGTGGACCCGTGCGCCCACCCCGTCTTCCCTTTGCGGTACCGCACCTGTTTTATTTTGGCTCATTAAATTTAATTAAGAACGGGCTAGGTGTTCCATATTTAAGTGGGTGGGTGGGGGGGGGGGTTGTGGGGCGGTGGGGATGGATAATCACCTCCCAGGAAGCTAAAAGAAAGGATCTTTATTCAAAAGTGGGCAGTCGTAGTGAGCGTTTGATTATTCTCACCCCCCCATCCATCCATCCACCCACCCACCCACCCATCTCTTTGCTGTCTCTTTTTAAAGTGCATCTGAGCGCGCAAACAGACACGTCTCGAGAGCTCTAAGGCGAGCGTTCCAAAATTCTTCCCTCTCTCTGCATATCCCCGCAATAATTTTCCGCTTTCCCTCGATAAAATTGCCAAATAATAATGAATCATTTCATAAATAATGGGTTTAGGGGCTTATCAGGCCAGGCTGGCCAGTGCCAGCGGCTTATCTCGCTTGGCCACGTTGCTCCAGCGATCCGCTCTCCATACTAAATAGGAAATTGGACGTGATGTGGGAATGAGTTCCCGGCGCTACGGAGCCGCCCAGCACTCCTCCTCCTCCTCCTCCTTTTGTGTGTGTGTGTGTGTGTATATGTGTGTATACTATAGGAGGAAGGGGAGGGGGAGCATACCAGCCTCCCTGAATAGGCCGCAAAATGGCTCCAGTCATTTTCACCTACGAAAAACAAGTGGTGAGTAAAGGGGTCGTTTATTCCTCTCTTTTTGTTTCGTTTGTTGTTAAAGAAAGAAAACCGCTTCGTAGGTTGGCTTCCCCCCCCCACTCCCCCCCCCCATCGCCCCACTCATCCCGCGCCAACTTCACGTTACAGAGGATAGGGGGTACATTCTCCTTTAACTATTTTATTTCAAAAGGGGAGATAGCGAACCATATAAATTCCTCTCTCCCCAAATCACCCACTTCTCTCTTTCGTTCTCTTATTTTTACACACACACACACACACACACACACACATCACCCACTTCTCTTTCGTTCTCTTATTTTTACACACACACACACACACACACACACACACACACAGGTTCCCTAGTAAAGAAGGGAAAGAAAGGGCGGCCAAATCCTGGGTTGAATTGTTGAATCTATTCTTGCTTTGCTCACTAGCAACTGGACGAGGGGGGGACGGGGGTGGGCTTGTAGGAAACCTTCGCGCTGAGCCAGAAAAGAAAATGCTGGCGGACCTGGGCTTGCCGAAGGCCGGGAAATGGTTGGGGAGAGGGCAGCGCCCCGAAGCGCCTTCCCTGGGCTCAGTGCCCGGCGAGGCCCACGCGCGGGCTTGAGCGTCACCCCACTCGCAGCTTCGCACCAGGCAGGCATTTGGGGGCTCCGGGAAAGCGGCCAGGCCAGGCGGGTCACCCCATAAAACTCGGCGGCTTTGGGGAAGTTTAAGACGTCGGGAAATCCGGTTCCAGCGGTCCTGACTCCCTCGCTCTCCTTCCCCGGCTCCCCCCTCCCTCAATAATTCGGCGTGCAGGAATGGAAGCAAAGTCCGATTTTCAATTGTGAAGTTCAAGATAGGAGCGGGGGGGGGGGGGAAGAAAGGCGACAAAATTCGGATGTGAGGCCGGCTGGGTTTCTCTATGGAAACCTAGCAGGCCTCAAAAACGAGGCTTGCTGCTCCCTTTTGTATGCGTGGTTGAAAAGTATTTCTAAGGAAAAGAAGGCAAGGAAACAAAACAAAACAAAACAAGCTCGGTGGAGGGCAAGGGTGTCTTGTCAAATTAAAAAAAAGGGGGCAACCGTGCAAAATATTTTTATGATCTGAAAGAGAATGGGCTTGCTGAGGACTAAACGTTAAAAGACTAGACGAGATGGAAGCATCTACTTAGCACAGCGAATTTATATAAGTTAAGACATCCAGAACAAACTGGGACAAAGGAAGTAGTAGTGATGATCTTGATCTCTAAAGAATTTGTTTAATAATGTTCTTTGATATATATATATATTTTGCTCCATGGGCCTATCCTCTTTGTTTGTTAGAACTTCAAATATAAAATAGCTTTTTATAGGTTGGGCTGGTCCTTCCTGCTCCTGATTTCCAGTGAACATTATTTATGGTGATAATTAAAAACGAAGCAGGCTAGTAAACAACGTTTGTAGTCTTTATTATTTATCTGGCAAATAGAAAAAAAATCATACTAGATTGATAGATGGCAGACAGACTGGTGGGCAAAATGTAATTTCCTATAGCTATTGCGCTGGTTCATGGAAGTCTTCTGATCCTTAATGTGGTAACTCTACCCATCTTGTGAATAAAATATAAATAATCTGACTATTAATACAGAGAGTGGCATATCTTAATTCCACAACAGGACAATATTAACACGCATAATGGTGTTGTAATAAAAGCACTCACTCGATGTCTGCAATCCCTTTATGAGTTGAAAGAAGAGCCGGAAAATTGCATCTATCAGCAAGTTTCAATCATAGCTAGTCCTCAATCTATTCTGGGACTGAAATCCAGGCTTGTTCCTATTTCTAGCAGACCTGGTTGTGATGAATGGGACTTGTCAGTCACAGCTAATTTGGATCCTATCATTTCAGCGAGACTATTTGAATTTCTGGATCCGGTCTTCCATCCTTAATTGGGGAAACGCACATTATGTTCCTGGTGTGTCTTCATTTTTTCCCAGTCATAGTTTAAAACATAGGAACCAGGAGCTCATCTTGTTCAGCCTTCTCTCCCGGAGACAGGGCAGCGCACGCATAGTTGTCTTTTTAAAATGAGTGTATTGAAGGGGGTCTTGTGACATGTTTATTAAGCTCGAATCGTTTTTATTACAACCGTTTACAACGCCTTATTTTTTTTTAACTCCTGCTGCATATTAATATAAACGAAGCAAGGCAAGAAAGCCTTTGTTTAGCTTTGGTGTCAGATGAATGAATGTGGAGGCGTCGTGGGCCAGTAGCCTGGGTGAGCGAGCTCTTTCTCCACTACTTTGTTTGCCACGAAAAGGCTCGGCTCCCTTTATTTCTAGCCCCAGACGCCTGGCCTGCTGTTTTTGAAAACCAAGGTTGATGAGTCACTTCAAACGTTGCACAAAAACACGGCTTGTTTAACTACGGTGTGATTTATTAAGTAAACCATACGTTCCGCTTAGTTCGATCTACGAAGCTGGGTCGTCCACATGATCAGAACATCCGTCGCCTGGTCCTCCAGATGTGCTGGCCTAGATACCTCCCCCTGGGAACTCTGGGAGTTGTAGTACAATCAATCCCGAAGCGTCGGCTTGGAAGAAGGAGTGTTCGCTCGTACAGCCTAGCTTTATTTCCCAGCAGGAGCGAAGATCTCTGACTTGCTCTGTCCTTCTTCTAACCGCAGACAGAGGCTGCCTCTTCATCCAGTTCCCCGCTGACGGACTTCGGGATCCGGACGATCCAGCGGTGGGTTTCGGCTGCGGCTGTCCGCTTTCTCAAAACCAAACCTCTTCCAAACGAGTACAGTACAAGAACGGGCCTTCCGTCGTGTCGGTAAGGAGGGCACAGGTGTTTTCGAGCTGAGCAAGACTCCTCTTTGACGAGAGGTAAAAAGACTGGAAGACTCCGAGACGTGCGTCCCTCCTCCACTAAGTTCACATTAGTGTGGTTTGCTGGATAAATCTCGGTGGGAAAGGTGACCGCCACACGCTAAGGCAACATCACAACCCCAAACTAAGCAATTCCTCTCCTACCACGGCTTAGAGAATTTCATGGTCCCCAGCCTCCAAGGAAGGGTGTGGGGGTGTGTTTCTATCCTTAACGCCAAAAAGAGAAAGGTTGGTGTTCCCTAGGCTGCCTGAAACGAAGCGGAATTTGTTTTCGTCTGGATGCTGCCATCGCGCAATCCTTCTCCCTATAATCTCTTTCTGGGGGATTGGGGGTGGGTGGGGGTGGCAGGGCTCGTTGTTTCTGCTTCCCAGCCTCGCCCCCCTTTCTTCGCCGCCTCCCCCCCCTCCGGCTCCAAGAGTTCCGGCGGTCCCCAAAACGCCTTGGCCGGACCTTCGTGCAGCGCCTTAAGATGGTGGAAGAGAAGAAGGCGGCCTTGAACAGGGAGAAGCTCTCAGCTGAACCGGCAGCCGAGGTTGTTGCGTCTTCAGCTTGACAGGTGTGGATTATGTTTCCCTCTGCCAGGTGGGAAATTCCAATTTTTTTAAAAAAAAGAAAAAAGAAAGAAAGAGGGAGGGGCAGCAGGTCACCAGAAGCGCCAGACCAGAAGTTGGTGAGCAACGTTCTTTTTAAGATGTTCTGATTCACCCGCTGCCAGCAAAATCTCTCGCCTTTCCGAAGCCAGAGAAACCAACGCGTTCGCTTGGCTCCCAAAGAGCTTTGATACCCTCGGAGTTAAGAGCACGGGCAGACCTGCAAGTTAAAGGTGGGTGGGTGGGTGGGTGGGTGGGTCGGGGTGAGAGAAACATGTTTTCCAGAGAGGAGGGAGTTGGCGGCAGGTGGATCTCCAAACCCACTGGATCGAGGCCGATTTGGAGATCAGCACGCTTCCTAACATCCAACTGCCCTCCTTGAATTTGGGGCTTCTGGATCTCGGTTGCAAAACTCCGGTTGACCCCTGGATGGCGGCAAGGTGTTCGAGATTTCGTTATCTGCGCTCCCATCTACGGACACCCATCCGCAGAATCGCAGCTCGAGATAGGGAAGCCCTAAATGAATTTTTCCAGAATCGATGGTGTTCTCCGTCAAATAAATCACGCTCAGCCCAAAAGGCGCGGGCTTGGTTTGGACTTCGTATTTTACGGACATCCAGCTTCTACAGTCTGCAAAGCACGGGGTGTGCTTTGTCCAGATGTCTCTGATTTATTCAATAAACAAAGAATGGCTGGTGCTAAACCCAGGCCCTCGCTAGCAGGCTGCTGACCTTCCGTTTAAGTTTGAAGACTGAAGCTTCATAGATGAGTTACAGCACAATCGTGTATATATTCAACCGGTAAAGCCATAGCATATTTTGTTTGGCTTTGGCTTACAGTGTTCTAGGAACATAACATATGACGTTCAATAGGGTAGTTTATTAGTCATAGTGGTGGACTCACAAAAGACAAAGGAAAAAAACTCTTTTAATGTTTCACACGGTTGTTTGTACAAGGAGGTCCTTTGCTTAACTTGACACTCTGGTCAGTTTCTTTAAAAAAAAGATATTTATTTATGGAAACAATCTTTGTGTGCTGATAAAACCGATCCGGCCTTTGCTTCTTCACCTTCAATTCATTAGAAATTTTGCCAACGCAAGAGAGCGAGACGCAGCGTGGTTTTTATATCTGAGGCGTGAAATTAACCCGGAGCTCAGTAGAGAAAATCGAATGAAAATAATTTGATTGTCTTTAAGCAATTTCAAATGTTAGTTTCTTTAAGTCACATCGCTAGTCAGTCGGAATATCAATGTATTTCAAATGGCCTTGTTTCCCCTCTGCAATAAGAATAAAGGTAATCACAATAACAATATTTGCCTGATCCCCAGCTCTCTCTTAAACCGAAACAGCAAGGCGGAAGATTAAGGCTTTAATCCTAAATGCACTTTTAGGGAATGTTTACTAGCAATTAAGACCCACTGTACTGGTTTCTTGACCAGAAAATGTGTTTGGCATTGTAGCTGTTAGGACGAAATCGGGGGAAAAAAGTGGTTTGGGGATTAAGCTCACAGATTCGGTGTGAAGTTTGGCGTTTTTAGAAAGAACGTTTTTCGGCCGTGAAACCCTCCTTACCTCCCAAAACGACTTGAGCTGATCTTCCAGAATTCCAGGCCTCAACATTTCCCGTTTATCTCTCCTTCTTTGAAGCGTTTCTTTATCTTTCTGCCCTAGCCGGAAGCCGAGCATCCGTCTGCCCTTCTGGCACCTAAGAAAAGGGCAGCCGAGAAGGACTTGGGCGTCCTTCTCTTCCGAGGGTAACCTTTCCTGCGAATAACCTCGTGGCTGTACACGGCAACAACTCGGCTTAATGTAGTGGGGGGGACTAGCCGCGAAAATGGTTTTGATTTGGTCTGAAATTTAATGAAATTCAACACTCGATACAGCCCCGACCGCAAACGGATACTCAGAGGGACGTCGGAGCGCAAGAGATTTCCGAGCTTCGTTTGCAGGAGAGGACACTGTGTGTGTGTGTGTGTGTGTGTGTGTGTGTGTGTTTCGAAAAAGTCGGAGCGCAAGAGATTTCCGAGCTTCGTTTGCAGGAGAGGACACTGTGTGTGTGTGTGTGTGTGTGTGTGTGTGTGTGTGTGTGTGTGTGTGTGTGTGTGTGTTTCGAAATTTGGAGACGAAAGCTCGGCAGCAGTGTATTGCAAACTTGAAGTCACCCGCCAGTCTCTGCAAACGCTTTCGGTCAAGACGTCCCGCTCTCCAGGCAGCGAACGAGGCGCGCCGATTGGGAGGCGGGAACGGTGCAATTCCCCTTGGGGATCTCGGTGGGGCCACAAGGGCATCGATTCTCACCGCCCAAGCTGAAGTCCCTGCGACTATTTCTCGCCTTCGCTTTCCTTGTCATGCCGAGAGAATCAATTGGAATTCAGCCACGGCGCTGTAACTGTCCCAGACCAGTGTTTCCCAACCTTGGTCATTTGAAGACGTGTGGACTTCAACTCCCAGAATTCCCCAGCCAGCTTGCTGGCTGGGGAATTCTGGGAGTTGAAGTCCACACGTCTTCAAATGACCAAGGTTGGGAAACACTGGTCTAGACCGTTAGAGCTATCCTACACTCGTCTCGGTTTCGTTTCTTTCCTTTTGCTTGGATACGATTTCTGATCTCCCTCGCCTGCTTTATTAACAGAAGCGAAGCCGATTTCGTCTCCGTTTCCCGCAGGAGAAACTGAGCCGAAAAACAAAACCGTTCGGTTTCCACCATTCCGTTTTAACCTTCGGGCTAAATTGAAGGTTAACCCCCCCCTCTCCCCACGGAGCGTTTTGATTTTCGGGCTCGGCCACACCTCTTCCCGCGCTTTGGGAGCCCCCCCTGGCAAGGCCCCGCCAGGCTCGGCCCGGGAAAGAGCTGAGAAATTGGGAATGGAAAGGAAGAGTTCTCCATAAGGCTTCTTCTTCCTCTTGTGAATTTGGGGGGGGGGTGCCTCGGAGCCCCTGGAGGAAGGTCTCCTTGCGCCCCCCCCTTCGGGCCACGTGGGTATCGCCGGGGACCTGGAGCTCGGCACTTCGTCGGAAGCGCAAAATCCGCCGAGCCAAGCGCAGCGCAAGCTCTCCGGCCGGTCCGACCGCAAGCAGCGCCCTCCGCCTCCGGGCCTTGCTGTCCTCCGCTGGGGCTCTTTTGGCGACGCGGGGTTTTTCCTTCGGGATTTAACTTTCTTTCGGACACCCCCCCTCCTTCTCTTCTTCTCTGCCCCCCCCCCCCTCTTTCCCTTCTCTGGCATTCCTGGGTTTTCCACCGCTCTCGGAATCCGCTTTCCCCTCCCTCCTTCCCTTCCCCCGCCTCTCCTTTCCCTGCTCTTCTTCTCTCTTGGCGCTCCCTTCCTCTCCCCAGGTTTTTTCTCCTTCTCTCCCTTTCCACTTTTCTCTCCTCCTTTTCCTCCTCTCAACCCTCTTCCCCCACCCCCCCTCATCCTGCCGCGCCCCTCCTTCACCGCTCTCCTCTTCGCCTTTCTCCCCCCCCCCCCAGGATGCTGATGGAGAGGTCCCCCAGTGACCCGCCGCGGGATGCGGCGCACCGACCCGGAGCTGGAGCGGAAAGCGTCGGCGAGCCGGACTTGGGGCTGGGTTCCGGCAGTAGTAGCAGCGGCGGCGGCGGCGATCGGAGGCGCGGAGGAATGGCCCTCCCGGGGGAGCCGGCCTTGCTCGATGGGGTTGCCAAGGAAACGGGTCGGCCGCCCCCCTCCCCCGGCCCGGGGCCCCCTGCTGCGCCGGTGCCAGTGATCGAGCTGGTGCGCAACGGCCGCCCTATAAAAGCCAGGGACGCGCCGCCCGGGGCCCTGCAGAGTCAGAGAGAGCCAGACGCGAGCAGCGGCAGCGGCAGCAGCAGCAGCAGCAACGGCAGCAGCAGCAGCAGAGCTCCGCGAGCAGAGCCGGCCACCGCCACCGCTCTCGCCCTCGCCACCACCGCAGGCGCCGGAGCCGGCACGCCCCCGGCCGGCGGTGGCATCGGCAGCAGCAGCGACGTCCGCATGGTGCACCTCAGTCCCACGGCAGCCCCTGCGCTCCCGCCGCCGGCCAGAGCCATGCTCTACGGCCTCGGGGCTCCGCTCAGCGCCGCCAGCAGGTCCGTTGCACAGCCCGGCGGGGCCTCGGTTCGGAGGCTTCGAGGTGGGGTGGGTGGGTGAAGGGGGGGGAACGGTTCTCCATTACCTTCTGCTTGATTATCCATCCCAAAGGTGCTTTTTCAGGAGGCAACTGGACTTTCTTGTTTTTCTTTGAAAACGTTTCGCTTCTCATCCAAGCAGCTTCCTCGGCTCTGATTGGATGGTGGGGAATGGAAGGATTTAGGTACTCCTTGAAGGAGTAGGAGCGAAACGTCTTCAGAGAAAAACAAGAAAGTCCAGGTGCCTCGTGAAAAAGCACTTTTGGGATAATAACGATGACCTGGATGACTGAGGATCTCCATAGACGCTTCTGCTCGATTCTTTTCCCCAGAGAAGGAAGGAAGGAAGGAAGGAAGAGGTCTTCCCGGTTGTCTGTCTGAGTTTTGGCCCGCAGCTGTTTCCTTCGCTTTTTTCTGCTTTAAGACCCAGCTGTTGGTTTCGCTGTTTTTCTGACTCTACTTTCTCTGATTTTAAGGCTGCCTCTTTGTCCCCCCGGTTTTCCTTCTCCCGATGGGAAAGTTGGGCCGTGAAGCCCCTTGTCTCTCTCTTTTTCTTTTGCCTCGTCCCCTAAATCTTCATATAACGGACTCAATTAAATAGGTAGTGGGATTTTATGAATGTGCGTGTTGCCCATCGGGGCGTGTTGCCACCGTTTCACCTTCTTGTCAAAAGACCAGGGAAACACGAAATGGTTAACTTGCAATATTTGTAACCGCGTAGAAGCATAAAATATGGAGGGAAAGGTCTGTGCTCTTAATTTTCCCAAGTGTCGTTGCAGACAGAATGTTGACATCAAGAAAAAAAAATCGTTCTAGAAATTATGTTTAGTGTTAATGGATGTATATTGATGTGTTGTTATTATCATTTAGGCAATCTTTCCCCCCCCCACTGCAAAATGCAGTACAGCTTAACATACACATGCTAGGAATAAACACTGTGGGGGGAAAAAAGGAACCAAGCTAGACATAAAGGGTTAGGAAAGGTATGAACAATGTTTCTGAAAGCTAAATACTATAATCCTGGTGATTATTTGATGGATCAAAATACAGTGTTTCAAAATGTATTTTAATTCTTCTGTTAGACATGCTCCCCAAGTGCAGAAATCAGTCGTGTTAGGCATCTGGATCTGAAAAGCATTTATTTAGATTTCTTGTTATGCAATTGTTCCATGCTGATAGTGTGAAAAACATTGCCACACCTGGTGCACAAACGGCAACAACAGGCAACATACCTATTGTGGGAAGTGTGCCTGTTATGTACATTCTCAGCAGTGTGGAAAACGGTGTCGAGGCGTTAATCCTTACTGGTGACTTACCATCATCAAATTCAGTAGAGCTATTTTTTTGAGATTGGATGTTTGTTCAGACTGCAGTTGAATGATGGATTTCAGCAGATCTCTGCAGAGCTAATTCCTCCCCCCCCCCCCCGCTTTTCTGCTTTTTTTCCTTTGCAGTGGATATTTTGGTGAACCCGAAAACTTTTCAATGTACAACAACAACCGAGTGAAAAGAAGACCATCCCCCTATGAAGTGGAGCTCTCTGATGGTGAGCTGACCCCCCCCCCCACAGCACTCCCCCCCTCATGTGCTTCCTTGTGGGTAGTACGGCAGCTAAAGGCTAGCAATTGCTATTTCACTTTGTATTGCTCGGTGGTGGCAGTGGGGGAGGGGGTTTTGGGGTCTCTGGAGGCATGAAATTCTTGCGTGGTGCAATTTATAACCTACAGTTTGGATCCCCAACAAAAGGTTGCAATATTGTGTGCTTTGGTTTGGATATCTAGCCATTTATGCCCTCTTCATAGATAACCAGAAGCCAGAATCCCATGGTTAGTGAGCAATTATTTTGTTCCCTGGGCTGTTTTAAATTTTGGATGGAGGGATGGAGGGATGGATGGAGGTAGATAGATAGATAGGTAGATAGATAGGTAGTTTAGATACGTAGATTAGATTGATAGGTAGATTAGATAGATAGATAGATAGATAGATAGATAGATAGATAGATAGATGTAGGTAGGTAGGTAGGTAGATTAGATAGATAGATAGATAGATAGATAGATAGATAGATAGATAGATAGATAGATAGACAGACAATGTCCCCACACCTGCCAATATTTTTTTGTGCTTGGCATGTTTACCTATTACCCCTATGCTAGGAGGTAGAAATAATAAATAGTGGTAGCAGCAAGAATAATGAGACCTTTCAGGTTAAACACAACATGTTCAAATCAAAAGGAGAAGAATATTTATTCCTTTGTGGCTTTATGGCTGCTTCGGAGCTGTTCTTGCAATCCGTAACAATTGTGAACTAAGATCACCATTCTATTTTATTTTTTACACATATCTGTTAATGTTGAAGGAAGGGCAGTGCTTGGAAGCTGCAGGTTGCAATTCAAATATTTCCTTATTTTCTTCAAACGTGTTGCTTAATTGGGATGGATTCTCTCTCCTGTAGTATATCCATACTTCAGTGGCCTGCTGTGTTAGGGGAATGGGTTGCAATAAAGCATCAGGTTTTGTGTTTGCATTTTGGAAATTCCAGAGCAGAGAAAGCCCAGACAATCGAAAGGTAGATGAGTTAATGGTTTGGAATTGCAGATGGGAAGGAACTAAAAGGGAAATGGCACAGCCTCCTTTCTCAGTTCAGATGCGAGAAGGAATCTGATTGTACCTTTTGAAATGACCACATTCAACTAAAAAGCATAAAAGCTACAACTCACTTCAACAGATGCATGTGGTGGCTAAATGATAGAAAGAGTCTTCCCACTCCTTCCCTCCTCATCTCATGCCAAATTAAACTCATTTTGCATGAATTTTGCCATCTCACACATTTGATGAAATGAGTTGTAGCTTGTATACGGTACTTTGTCTGTCTGAAAATATGCTACCAAATTCCTTCTGATTTTTACATTGCCTTAGACTTACACAGTTATCTGTGTGTACAATCACATTTGTTCCATAACAAATAAAGATAGAAATTGGGGAAGTGTAGCATCTGTTTTAAACTCTCTCTGCAAGTCCCAAACAATGTATGTATTTAGCCTGTCTTGGAGTTTGTTTATTGATTCTGGAACTTACTGAAATGTAAACACAAACATGTCAACAGAGGGAAAATGGTGTGATAAATGCATATTATATTATACGTTACCTTGTAGAATGGCTTCCAGAAATTCAAAAGCAGAGCAAAAAATGAAATGGGGGGGTCAATGCAAGTGAAGATTTAGTTTGAAGGCATTTTAGGTTATAGACATTTTAGGCTGTTTTTATCTAAGTTGCTGCCTTCAAATCTTTATTTTAGGAATAGTTTAGGAACTGAAATAAATGCATATGACATCCACATAATGTCACAAATTTCATGATGCTATCCTAGGACTTTTTAAAATATGATCATCCAAAAAAATGGATGGATGGCTCAGGAATTCTGGGAGTTGAAGCCCATGAGTCATAAAAGAACCAAGATGGCCTACCCGTCCTAAACCATTGGATGCCCAGGTGATAACAATGTGGAAAGACAGTCAGACAGATAAACTGTATCTCCCCTCCCCTCCATTCTTGGCAGGATTGTTTTGCCATTGTCTTCCACTAGGGGGCTTCTTCCACACACCCTCACTTCAAGCCTATGTTAGAAGGATTTATCAATCAGTTGCACCCTTGCCACACAAACTATGTATGTGTGTCATGATATTACATGCATGTATGAAAGAGCTTGGGTTGTGATGGTACAATACTGTTTGGGAACTTTTGATGAAAGTATTGATCTAGCAAATGTGACATATCTCTCTCTATATCTATATCTATATATTTATATATCTATCTCTATCTATATCTGATAGAGATAGAGAGAGATAGATTATCTATCTCTATCTATCTATCTATCTATCTATCTATATGTCTATCTATCTGTCTATCTATCTATCTATCTATCTATCTATCTATCTATCTATCTATCTATCTATCAAACTAGTTGTTTGTTGTCATCTTAGCTATTTACTAGGTTGATATGAATGTTTGATGTTCTGAATCAGTTTGGATCCAGATTCACAGGATCAGATCAATGGACCCATTGGTTCAAATCGAACCATGGGTACCTGGAAGGGTTCAAAAAAGTAAAGAAGGCAGATGCAAATGAAGCTCCATCCTCCCCACTCCCGCTTTATGATATATATAAAAAGGGGAAGGGCTTCAGTCACATGTGTGGTTGCTAGCTTTGGTCTTTTGATCCTCCTCTCCATGGACACCCTTGAACTGAACACATTTGAATCAAATCAAACCGATGTGGACATTTTCCATGCAGGGACATATACATTTAATGGTCTAAATTAGTCCCAATTGAATCTAATTGGATTTATCTGAGAGATTTGGTCTGAACTGATTCAGTGTTCATGTTTACATAACCCTGTGATTAATATCAGTCTACAAAATCTCAGCAACTCAGATTCTGTATAAGTTAAGTCTCTGCAATTAAGATCTACACTAATAATCTGGAATATATTCTGGACTGACAACCTCTCTGTACAGGCAGTCCTCAATTTACAACAGTTCGTTTAGTGATCGTTCAAGGTCACAACGGCCCTGGAAAAAGTGACTTATGACCAGTTTTCACACTTACGACTCTTTTAGCATCCCCATGGTCATGTGACCAAAATTCAGACGCTTGGCAACTGATTCATATTTATAATCGTTGTACTGTCCCCTTTTGCGACCTTTTGACAAACAAAGTCAGTGGGGGAAGCCAGATTCACCTTAATTTACTTAACACTTGTGGCAAGAAAGATCATAAAATGGGACAAACTCACTTAACGAATGTTTCACTTAGCAATAGAGATTTTGGCTGGGCTCAGTTGTGGTCGTAAGTTGAGGACTACCTGTATCAATGTTTGAGGCATTAAGCTTGATGAGTTGGAAACTGCACAGGTCTGGAGTAAGCAAAGCCAAAATAAGGATGAGGCTTCATGAAGGTGGAGCAAAATCAGCTCTAGCAACTGTTATGAACCACCCCAACTGTCATGTATCGCTCATTTGTTCAAGGGCTGCTAAGAAGAGATTCAATTATTATGATGAGGCTGACTTAGTTATCCCAGAGCAGCCATGCTGAATCTAGTGCTCTTCTGATAGTGTGAATTCAACTCTCCTAATTCCTGGCCAAAAAATTGCCCTAGGATAATTAATTGGCTCAATGCCAAACAATAGTCGGGAAACCTTTTCCCAGTATAAGATTATTTAAGAAGATGGGCAGGAATTTCAATACATTTTAAAGCAGCACAAATGCCTAATTTATTTGCTCATAATTGTACCATTTTTCCATATCTAATAACTGATGCTGAAGCTGCAGAGTTAAACTTGATTCAATTTAGTTCATTTTTCCCTCTAATGTTGTGGTATCAAAATCGAATTTCAGAGTCTGATCATTTGATTTTGTCATGTATTGGCAAATTTTTATTTTAACATATATGCATATTTCCTTCATATTGCTTCATATTTCCTTAATATTCATTTATTAACTATTGATATTTTAATAGTTTAACTTTTGGATAGCTCTATATCAGAGCCACAACATTTATTAATAAGCCCAGCACATAAATATATCATGATATTTTTTAGAAGCTCATTTAATAACTGAAATTTCAATGCTTATCTGAATTGGATTTTGCATAGATCATCCATTTAAAATAGCTAGATTCAGTGCTAAGCTATTGGATATAATAGTATAGCAGAAACAGCGCTTCATGACAGCTTCTGCCATTTAATAACTGATTATCATTTCCTATAGATTTGCAGCATCGCCAACAGGAATAGGAGACTAATATTTATATTATTCTAAATAAGCTCAGGTCAGACAAGACCTGTTACCTGTAATCTCAGAAGTGAGACAATGTGACAATAATTTTAAGAAACAGGAAAGCAGATTTTAATTGAATGCTAGAGTTATTTAACAGTGGGACCAGTTATTAGTAAATATGATGAACTTTTCTTTGATGAGTTAGGTTTAATAAAGACCGGACAGGCATCTCTTGGGGCTGAATTAAATTGGATTGCTTGATAGTGTGCTTGATAGTCTAAAATGGCCTGTTCCAACTTTATTATTTTACCTTTCAGATGATACCTGAAATTACATGGCCACGATTTTTGAGAAAAAATAGGGGAGACTTGTACTTTAAAACTCTTGAGGATGGAGAGTTATAATTAGTCATTGCTTGCTAAACTATGCCTTGGGGGGGGGGGTTATAGTTTACCAGCACTAGCTTTAAAAAACCAGCATGTAAAAAAGCAAATGGGTCTTTTGGTGGCAAAACAGGAAACTTGTCATTCAATTTTTGGGCACTCGGTCTCTAAAAGGTTCACTATCACTGGTTTAGGAGAAGAGAAAAGATAAAAAATAAAGGTTTCCCCTGTCTAGTCATGTCCAACTCTAGGGGGTGGTGCTCCTCTCTGTTTCGTTAGCTGAGGGAGCCAGCATTGTCCGAAGATGCTTCTGTGGTCATGTGGCCAGCATGACTATATGCCGAGGCACATGGAATGTTGCTACCTTCTCACTGAAGTGGTACCTATTTATCTACTCGCATTTGCATGCTTTCAAACTACTAGGTCTTCAGGAGCTGGGGAAAGTAATGGAAGCTCACCCTATCACACAGTGCACAGGTCTTGAACCCGGGCTAGCAGCTTTCCAGCTGACAAGCTCAGCATCTTTCTTCTGACTCTCCAGTACCCCTCCTCAAAAGAAGCCTGCGCGTTCAACAGCCATCAAATGCTTATACGAAGATTTAGAGCACAGATTCTTCTGTCCTTGCCAAGCAATACAGAATACAGTACACAGGAGTATTGGAACATAAAAATGGAAGAAGACACAATACATAGTTATAGGAAAGGATGTAGAACAATGAGAAATCTAAACCATAGCAGTGGTGGTGCTCCCTCAGAAATGAAGCTGATGAGAAATGGAAGAAGCAAAGGCAACTAATAGCAATATAATATAAAATTACAATTTTAATATAAAAAGAACAATGCTGATGCTTTATAGGAAACATATCTTTATAATCCATTTATTTTATAATGCAAGAATCTCTTCTGCTTAGACCTCCTATCCTAGAAAGGATGATGTGTGATGTTGTTCTTTTAGAATAAATACTGTGAAAAAGGTAACCATGAAATCCTTATAAAACCAGAGGGATTAGAGATGTGCACAAATGATTCCAGAAGATGGCTACAGTTTTCAGAACAGATTTTTTAAATTCTAGTTATCTTCGACAGATGGAACGCCTTCTGTTAAATGTCTAACAGCAATGGATCTCTGATTTGGTCTGTGCTCCAGTGTGCAATAATATCAAACTCACATAGTCCTAAAACTAAACTAAGCCTTTGCATAATTTTCCAGCACTAATGTCAACTCAAGATGCTAGTGTAATTTTGCTTCTATTAATTATCTCTATTCCTGATAAAAATGGAATTTAGAATATGGACGTAATAGGAGCAGGATGTTTCTTCACTCAAACATATTGGTTATTTGTTTTCCTACCAAAAGAATATATACCCAGCCTTTCTATTTGCAGTGTACTAGACAGAATTATGTTTCACAACCATTTAAAGCCACAAAGAGATACAGTTAGTACTATAAAGATATGAAGATGACAAATATACAGAGGAAAGCTAATAGATAAATAGCTTTTAAACTTGTTAGGTAAAAGCCTGTCAGAATAGAAACATCCTTACCAAACTTTCAGAAGCAGTTTGAAGGTGATCCATGCTTATATTAGTTCTGTTACCTGGATAGGTTGAGAATAGAGTGTAAATTACTGTCTGGCACTGAACCTTCATTCCACTTCACACAAAATGATAAGAAAAAAAAATCTGCAGTATTTTGCAGACTGGTTTCTCCTGTTCTGAAAGAGAAAACTGACAAAATAGCTGTCAGTTTCATCCCTTGGCTGTTTTTGTCTTTCTGGTCTATTGAGAGGAAAAGAGCAGCCAAGCTGACTTTTTTTTTTATACATTATCTCCCACATCCATATTTTTTTATATTGTAGGAACTTAGAAATCAGGTATTGGTACATTGAGCCCAGTGTTTTGATGTGGTCTGACAATGTTGTTCAGGATTTCAGTAGGAGTTTCTAGCCCTATCTGGAAATTCTGGAGACTGAACTTAGGAGCTTTGGCATACAAAATGTATGTTTGATAACTTCACTAAGACGTGTTTCAATTTGCACCTTTGGTAATTATGGTATCCCAGCTCAGTCCAGAAGATTCCAAACTATTAGATTAAACAAATAGCTGATTAAATAATTGGTTTCAGAAGATATTGTTCTCTACTGAAGCCTCTGTATCTCTCAGTAATAATTACCTATTTGAAACCTAATTCTGGGAAGATGGATAGAGATTGGGCCACTTGGAACAATGCAGCCTGCCAGGAACTCATTACAGATTAGATGAAGAGAAGCACAACTAGAGTTCTGTTCATGTGTGTCAGAACTTTTCTGCCTCATCTTCTCCATTGTAACTATTTCTCCTGAAAATCAGTACTAAGGATGAGGAGACCTTCTGAAATGGCACAGGATTAGGTTCTGTGAGGAAGAGAGAAACAACAGAATTCGAAAGGGACATCTTATGTGAGTGGAAATGCTCTTCTGGTTGCATTAGGCTCTTTTTGGATTTAAGACAGTGTTTTAAAGATTGATATCACGCCTCTTAAAAGATCTGAAAATAAAGGTCTCAATTTCTGCAAGACAAAATGAAATATCTTTTTCATAGCTGGCAATCCTCCTAACATCCAAATGTCATTTTTTTTTGTTTGTTTCTGCTAGGCTTTAACATTTAAATTATTTTTACAGAACAAAATAACAATGAAACCGCTTTGTTTTCATATTTGTTTTCTATATGTACCAAACGATCTGATTTGAAATTAGGGAACAAAATTTATTTAACTTTAACCCCAGTTTTGTTACTTATAGATGCATGTGTGCTAGCTGACATTCAGGCTGTTTTTCCATAACTTACCTTGCATTTTTGGTCTTCTTTAGGCCCTCACACAAAAGTGGTCCGTCGAATATTCACAAACAGCCGTGAGAGATGGAGGCAGCAGAACGTCAATGGAGCGTTTGCTGAGCTTCGCAAGCTCATCCCAACTCACCCACCTGACAAAAAGCTCAGCAAGAATGAAATATTACGCCTGGCTATGAAATACATCAACTTCTTGGCCAAACTGCTCAATGACCAAGAAGAAGAAGGGAACCAGCGGGGTAAAGTAAACAAAGAGACTGGCATAGTGCAAGAAGACCTTCTTCAGGACATGTTGTCCCCACATTCAAGCTGTGAAAGCTCATTAGATGGAGCAGGAAGCCCAGACAGTTTCATGGAAGAGCATGAATCTTTAGATCCTAAGCATACAAGAGGCCTCCATCATTCCCTTCTTCCCATTGAAAACAATGCCCAACGATGATGAACCAGCACAGAGCATCCCAGAATACTTGATATCTGGATTGTATGCATGTCCTCCCTTTCTTCTTTCATCTTCTTTATCTAAGACAGACCAAATGAGGGGTACTTTCCAAGTTTATTTTCAACTTGAACAAGTTGATGAAGATAAAGAATGAGTAACCAGGTGTACAGAACAATTTCCTGCTTATGTCACCAATGAAACATAGGCCTTGCTAGTTGTGTTTTTGAAAAGTTTAACACAGAAGGGCTGAAATATGCAGGCAGCTTATTTTGTGTTTGTTTGAGGTTTACAAAAGGATTGAACTGAGACTTCATCCTTCTGCTGATTACCTATGCTCTTGTTTTGCCTTGTCTCTCAGCTATTTGGACCCCAGCTTCTTCAGTTCTGTGTGGCTATTAGTATTGAAATTTTTTCATGTTGTATGGTGTTCTTTTCCAGGTGTCTTTGAGGAAATGTATGCAACTCATTTATCTTCACACAAGAGCTTTGTTGGAGTGCTATTTGTGAGCAACTGATAATTTTCATTCTGGCTTTCTTTTCTTTTCTTTTTAAATTCAGATTTCACACAGAGTTGAATTGTATGAGGTCTTGTATTTTTGATGTGGATTTAAAAGAAATTTTAATATGCAGTATTTGCTGAACAATAAAGGTACACCATTTAAGGTTTATTTCTCAACTTTCGACACTTCATCAGAGGGATGTTTCCTTGAAGCATGGCTGAGCAACAGGGTCCTTGGAGTTGTTACCTTCAGTTTCCCTGGTTTTATTTTCTCTGACAAAAATGTAATGAGAAATATTGTTTGTGTGTATTTATATGTAAGGCTGGTATAAACAATGTTTCAGTAATGCACTTTGACTTGGTTAGATTTACATATATTGAGGTAATGAGACACAATCCAGCTGGAGCTTCTTCTTTACAAGATCCATGGAAATAAATGGGAAATCTCCATGGAAAATCCAGAGAAAGTTGCATGTCACATGGCTAAATTTGGTACATGCTGATCGCTCCAAGCTATGCTTCATATATAGGAGTTCTTGCAGAAAAAGCTCCTAGAGGGCAATGCTCAAGTGGTACTTTTCTTTCCAGAAGTTGCTTGGTTCCAAATGAATTTGCATTTTGTTGGGCATTGTAATTCTGTGAACAGTGGTATATGCAGCAAGCCATGATGATGCCAAAACAACAATATGAACATGATGTTGCATTATGTTCTTTTGTACCAATGTCTGATAAAATCACGTAAGCCACAGCACTTGTGTGATGACATTGTCATACAGTTTTGTCATTGCCCTTCTTTGCTTCTTTGCAGATGCCTAAGTGAGTGTTTTCTGTGCCATGTACTCTCTCTCCAGCCATTCCCTCATGCTTTTGCAGCTAATCAATCTGATCCATCTTGTTTCCCCCTTTTTACCATTTAAACAATGGTGGTTACATGATCAAGGAAGGGCTGCTGAAAATTGTGAAATTAGCTTGAGAGTGGTTTTGATACAATCTTTGTTGGTTGCAGTCAACTTTGTTTCTGTAGAATTTGTGAAATCACGGTTATTCATTCTCGGATAGTTTTATGGAAACATTATATTTTCAGATGTGCACCTGAGATCTTAAATATATAAACACACATAAACAAGTGGACTGTGAATTTGTTAAACAAAGTGTCTGCAAACGCAGGTAGGAGTGAAGTACTGATTCTGGGGAATTACATTTGGTTGATGTTTCTAGATCTGACTTTGTGTTATAAAGAACTAGAGCAATTTTAGTGGTTCAAGCCATTATTCAGAAGTTTGTATGTTCATCCATTGTTGATTATGAAGGATGCAGTGTAGAAAATTTAAGGAAGACTTGTTTTTCCTTCTCAGTTTTAGTGTTTGCCTTGTTAATAAAAATTATAGTTGCCTGGGCAACTATAGATGTATACAAGGTTCCCCCCTTATCATAGATTGTTTATGAATTCTCTGATACATGTATATGTGTTTGTTAAAGTATTTTTCTATTGACAAACAGTTTTGAAAAAAGAAATGTTGTCTTTTGTTGTTTATATGGGTGGGAGTGAAAGACACATTGCTTTACTTCACAAGCTGCATGTTGTCCCATAAAAATTCAAAGGTATTCTGAATAATGTAAAAGTTATTGCTGAGGAATAAATGACTTATTAACCATTGCTTATTACTAAAGCCTCTCCCTTCGAAATCTAGAAACAACAGCAGTAATAGGAAGGAATCTGTAGACTGGAAACAGAACTTGAAAGTCAAATTAAAGCAATTGGAAAGCATTTGATTGTGATTTTTAGGCTACAGACCAAATTTATTTACGTTTACTAAGAAGGGCGTGTTTAACTAGTGGTGTGATGGGATGTGTTATGTGTTCAAGAAGGTGGTAACTATGGCAGTATAATCAAAATCCTGCCCTTTTCTATATGCCAAACAGTACAAAGGGGTGCGGCTTTGATTGTACTGCCATGGCTGCCATCTTGTTTTTCTTTTTTTCATTGCTCTCATGAACACCACTGAGCATACCCTATATATACAAGCTCTGTCAAGGATTACTCTGCTCACATGTTTCATTCATGGTCTTTTATAGCCTAGCTATCATAGTTAGGGTGAGCCTTAGATGTTTTCATCTTATTTGTGATTTCTTTATTTTTTTTATATAATTTTTCCATCTCTTAGAAATGGAATCACCTGGAGGTTCCAGACCCGCCATATCCCTGATACCTACTATAATCTTGGCCAGAAATAGATTGTTTGCCCTCTTTTGGGGCTCATTCTAGATGCTTATCAACATAAAAAAGTAAATACAGCTTCTCCTGCTCTTTTGGCCAAGGGAAATTGAAGGATAGGTTGCTCATCCTAAACAAATAGCAGGATTGGGTTTTCTAGAATGGCTAATCTTATGGGAACAATTCCAGGAAAAAAATTAATGTTTTAAATATAATTTTTGTATAATGCTAAAGGTTTGTTCTTCTTTATGTTCCCCTTTTCTTATTAATCCAGAAACTGCAACTGCATGCTTCACAAATTTGTAGAATATTTCTGGTGAACTTCAGATATATGAGTTACAATGCTTATAGGCTGAGCTAAAACTAGAATGAAGAAGGTTATTATGGAGAATATGGCACTCAGATCAGAAGTGGACAATTTAAGGCCCATGGCTTCACAGAGGCAGGCTCCAAATCCTCAGAAATTAGGCCCTTGAAAATTGAAACCAACTATAAAAATAAATGCTGCTTTGTATGCTTCTTAAAAGAATAAGCTATTTTAAATCATCTAAACAATACCTCCAATCCCCACCCCAAGTATTCCCTCAAAAATGGAAGTGTCTGGCTCATCCGCAAGTGTGACATTATTACATTGTGGTTCTCAATAAATCCCTCTTCCAAAATACATTGAATTAAGAAGGTAACACCCGATCTGCCAAAAGGTACCTGGTTCTGTTTTAGATATTTTATTTATTTATTTATTTATGAGACTTATATACCGCTTTAAGTGCAAGCACTCTCTAAGCGGTGTACACCAGTAAGCAATGTATATATATATTTACATTGCCCCCAACAATCTGGGTCCTCATTTTACCTACCCCGGAAGGATGGAAGGCTGAGTCAACCTTGAGCCGGTGAGATTTGAACCGCTGACCTGCTGAACACAGTCAGCTAAAGTGGCCTGCAGTACTGCACTCTAACTGCTGCACCACCTCGGCTCATCATATTATTGTTTGTGGAGTGAATGAGGCTTTAACTTGTCAACCATGAGAATAAGTGTGGATACACTATGTAGAGCTGGGATGGGAAAACTGGGAGATCCTGAACAATTAATTTTGGCCTTCTAGGGTTCAGTAGATGCAAATGCCAGTCCTGAACACACCTCTCACTCCTAACCAATCCAGTTGCTGAAATCTCTAGTTTTAAAATCCATATTGCAGATGTAGGCTATAGTTTCGTATGAAGATCTTCTCAATGAATTCTTGTGAAGTCTTTGCAGTGCTGACTTGTCCTGGACTATCATTTTGCTTTTGCTACACTTAGGACAAACAAAATAAATCTCATAATTCTGAAGTCTGCCTGTGCCTAAAAACTAGATTATTAACTGGGATTGTCACTGTCACTTTAATAGCAATTAAAGGGCTATTTCACACATTTATTCCTGAGAGGTAGTAATGTTCATGCACCAGACCGAGGATGGTCATTTGTGTTAATGCAGAATTCACTGTTTATTTGCTACAGTCTCAGTTTTCTTTCTATCTTTTGTCAATTCAATTATGGGGCAGCAGGACTGGAATCCTGAAACTATTTTTGAAGAAGCAGGAACAGGGTATTTCTGAAGATCCTGATCTTTCATGCTTCCCTTCAATTAGTCCAAAATAATTATAATTATAATTAATTATATTATAAGAAAAAATTACATAAAATCTCTGATCCATTTGTTCTTCTGAATGCACTTTTTAAAACTAATACAATACAGTAACTGAAAGGGCACCTGTGTCAAACAGATGCTCTCTGTTAGGAAAATTATATGCAAAATTAGATGAGAGTAAAAATTGAGTTGGCTCATATTTGTATAAATTATGCAAAGCTGATTTACTTGATGGATAATGTCATATTTATCCCAATTAATTATCAACCAACTGACAATAAAATATACTTATTTCAGGTTTTGTTTACTTGTATATTAATTTACCATCATGGATCAGCCATATTCTATTTTTATTCCCATACTCACAGCAATTAATGTCAACATTCCTCAGTTTGGTAGACTTCTGGTAATATAATAGTTGGTGTACAGTTCCAAAGCACTTTGGAGGAGATGCATACATTTGCTAAAGTATTTTTTAAATATGGGCTGGAAAACAAGCATAGTATATTTTAACTGACTGCTCTACCTGTGAGCTGCTTAAATCTTTGGGTTTTAACAGGGCAATCCTATGGTTTTTTTTTTCTTCAGAAGAAAGTTGTAATAAGCTCAGAGGAGGTTGATCTGAACAACTTCTAAGCCTGAAGCTTTAGTAGGCTTGGCTGAATCTCACATGAGTTTCTGAACAGGAAAAAACGTGCCAGGACTGAAATCTTTAGAAGTGAAAACCAAGACATCCTTCTTTTTACTGTAGAAAGTACTTGCCTTGTTAAAATCTTTATATCCTTGTGGAACAGGATTAAATATAAACAAGTATTTTTGTTAAAAAGCTTTGGCTTTCAATGTTTTACTCAGTTTGGTTTCCTTTTTACAAAAGACTTCTCCTTATGCATGTTGTTGTATCTTGGGAAAGATTAATCTAGATTTTATGAAGTGCACAAGATTCTGTTTAGAGTAAAATGCACCAATTGATAATTTTCCAGTCTTTCAAATGACTTCCAGTTGTTTCTAACCCCCAAAATTCATTAATTAAAATTCTGATAGCCACCAAGGTAGGAAACATTGTATTATTCATTAATCAAATCCTGTGGCAGTTTTCTGACTTTGCAAAATAGGATAATGATTTGGGGGGACTAAATGGGAAGATTTTGGATGTGTTGGGAATTCTCTTAGAATCTCAAGCCATTTGAAAGCATTTTCAAACCAGCCTATTTTCTTATCTAACAGTGCTCTGTTCCAGGCTATTCATTGGTTCTGAGCAAGATAAAAAAAAAATAGCATGGAGGCATGATTCGAAGCAATCTTCTAGAAAAATGTAAAATCATTCTCCAGAATTATTTAAATGGTCATATATTAAAGAGATGTAGAGTGGAAGTCTACATTTATACTGATTGTTTCTACATTATTATAATACATCTTAATTGATTCAGCAAATCTCTCTCTGGTACATACAGTACTATAAAATTGCAATTGTAGTGTTAGAACAATTGAAATCTGTTCATGAATCTTATTGTAGAGGAAGTTTTTCAGCAATTCCTATTATATCAATGGGACAGGTCACACATCCTGTTGATTCCAATGGAAAGTAAAGGTAACCAGTGTTGCCTAGCATCAGACCCTATGTTTAATTTAGGCATTAACTTTCTTGAATTGCCTTGTGTTGATGAAATTTGAAGAAAATATCAACATAATCTGCAAGAAATTTAAAATTGAAGTGAGGGAAATAACAGTAAACTCAAGAACAAAATATAAGTGCAACTTATGTTGCAGGATATTTATGCACCCCAGTTCAGTATGGAGGATTTTTATGGATCAATTTAAGCTTTCCATACCTTTGTGTGTTCTAGATATATTAGGACTATTGCCTGGTAGGTCTACGAGCTATCATTTCATCCTATCTGGAAGCTACCAGGTTGATGGAGGCTAATGTTTTTAATATTTCTTTCTAGGTGGGAGGCAAGAAGAATTAGCTTTAAAAATGACTGCATACCATATACGTAGGTATTTTTCCATGGAACATTACATCCCTCTCTTTGTCATCCCCTTCACAGGAATGCTGGGGATCTGTTGACGTGTTTTAAATTGTACTTTAATGATACAGCTCTCATTCTTCATGTCTCTCTTCCCTTTCCTGCCTAACACTCTTTAACATTCTAGGTTCTGATTCTAAAGAAGCAGCACTTTTGGTCAGTGATGTACTGTGTAATGGATTCCTTTCAGATTCATTTGGTTTTCTACATTTTGCAGCAGTCAATTAAATTAAATAGCCAACATAGGTACCTTTTATTCTTATTTTGTACAGTCCACAAGATGATGAGGTATTACGAAAACACATTGGTTGTAATGTGTATGTACATATATAAATAAATACATAAATATATATATATATATATATATATCAAATGACTATATTGAGGATATTTCTAAATAAAAGTTTGCAAATCAACGTGGTCTGTGTCATTTCTTTGATCTAAGGGTACACTACTTCCCACACTATTTGGGTTAGTCTGATGGCTCAAACTTTGATCTGCTAACAAAAGTAATAGGGAGCTGCTTTTTACTCAGTTCAGTAGCTGTCCATTTATTCCAGTACTAACAGTAACAAGGAGCAGAAATTATTGACGTCGTAATTTCAAGCAGGAGTTTTACTAGCCTCCCTTAAATCAATTAAAAACAAAATGGGAATCAGATAAAAAGGCTTACCACTGAAATTGATTTCCATCAAAATTAGGGAAAATTCAAAGTAATACTAAGGAAACTCAGCATGATCAATTCTAATATACATCACATACACTGAAGAAAATTTAACGAAAAAGATTCACATACTTTATATAGTAGCCTTGAAAAAGTTCTTTTGGAACTGATTTTTTTAATTAAAAAGGGCAAATCAGAGCTCAGGCCATTTTAGCAAATCCTAAATTGGCCTTACTAGATTTTTTTTGTTTGTTTGTTTACTGAGCTACACTTTGAAATATAGACATATATTTACATATATCAAATATATGGCTTTCTCTTTTTAAACAACCATATAGTACATATGCAGGAAGTTGCTCCTCCTTAACATCTCTTCTCATCTTAGAAATATGTGCTCAATATAGAGATGGAGAATTATGCTAGTAAGAGCACAGCATGGGAGAGTATATCTCTAGTTGATACTGGACAAAACATATGAGTAAAAGATGGAGCTGATTCTTAGTATCATGATTAAGATTTTATCTCCACTTTTTAAACTCTTTTTATGGGATTTGTCACATGAGGTCCTTCCCATCCCTGTCTTTATGGTTACATTAAACTCCTGGGAAATGCCATCTAGGATTTTGAAGTGACATATATCCTCAAGTCATCCTTTGAATTATAATTTGAACCCAGATCAATTTCTCTTTTCCACCCAAACCAGGAAAGCAAATGAAATTCTTCCTTCAACATACTTTATTTTTTAAAAAAGCAATATATAATTATGCCAAAGAGGTGGATGAAATGTAATCGATCAGATGGTGTGATTTTTCTTTATCTGTTTCATTGATGGAGCTGCTATAGTCAATTAAGTATCTTGGCTCCAATCATTCCCAGTCATAGTGATGAAAAATGCTTCATCTCATTAGTATACAGAAACTGCAATGGGAACAAATTCTTGCTGCTTTCTGAGTCTGCATAGCACTTATCTCGTGCCATATGCTAGACAGAGACCTGCCAGTCATGTGCTTGGCTTTACTTTATTCTCATAGCAGGACAAAAGCCCCAGTGAATTACCAGTCCCTGGAAAGAACACAGACATTATTTCTTAGTGGAGTCTGATAGAGATGAAGAAACCAGCATTTTATACTACTTCTTACTAAATGGTAATTGAATTTCAAGGTAAGTAGGACATGATTTTTCCAGATAATAGAAGAATCAAAAAGATAGGAAGCAGTAGCAAAATTGTGGGAAAGATGGCTTCTGCGTGAGGACAAATCTGGGTATTTTGCTTACCTGGAGGACACATAGAGGGCAGAGGGAATGTGAGATCCAGGTATCCAGTCTTTTTGGCTGCCCAAACAAAAATGGCCATGTATAGTGGTGTACAGTAGCCCAAAGGGAGAATTGGAAACAGTATCATGAGAGTAAGTCTTCTAAGTACATCTAATGAGACAACTTTATAACATGGTTAGCAGAATGTGAAGATGAGCCTCAGAATTTAGGACTAATCTGAAGAGCTGAAAATAAAGGAGG